ACTAGAAATCAATAACAAGAGGGACATTAGAAATATACAAACATGTGAAAATGAAACAATACACTTCTGCATGACCAGTGGGTCAATGAAGAATAAAAAAGAAATTTTAAAAATTCTTAAAACAAATGAAAATGAAAACACAGCATATCAAAACCTGTGTACAGTAAAAGCAGTAATAAGAAGAACATTTATAGCAAGTAAGCACCTACATAAAAAAAGAAAAGCTTTAAATAAATAACAATGATGCATCTCAAAGAACTAGAAAAACAAGAGCAAACCAAACCCATCACTAGTAGAAGAGGTATTATTAATAAAAATCTGAGCAGAAATAAATGAAATTGAAATAAAATAATATGGAAGATCAAAGAAACAAAAACTTGTTTTTTTAAAGATAAAAAAAATTGACACAGCATTAGCCAGACTAAGAAAAAAGACAGAAGACTCAAATAAAATCAGAGATGAAAAAGGAAACATTATAACTGATATTGAAGGAATTCAAAGGATTATTAGAGACTACTATAAGCAACTAGAAACCAATAGACTGGAAAAACCAGAAGAAATGGATAAATTCCTAGACACATACAATCTACCAAGACTGAACCAAGAAGAAATCAAAACCCTGAATAAATCACTAACATGTAACAAGATAGAAGCACTAATAAAAAAGTCTCCCATCAAGAAAACCTCAGGACCCTAGGGTTTCACTGCTGAATTCTAACAAGCATTCAAAGAAGAACTAATACCAATTCTGCTTAAATTATTCCTAAAAATTGAGGAGAAAGGAATACTCCCAAGTTTATTCTATGAGGTCTGTATCACTCTGATACCCTAACCAGACAAAGACACAACAAAAAAAGAAAGCTACGGGTCAATATCATTGATGAAAAAATATGTAAAAATGCTCAGCAAAAGACTAGCAAACCAAATTCATCAACACAATAAGAAAATTATTCATTATTTTCAAGTGGGATCCATCCCAGAGATGCAAGAATAGTTCAATATACACAAATCAATTAATGTAATACACATATATCAACAGAATGAAGGACCAAAACTGTATAATCATTTCAATTGATGCTAAAAAAGTATTCCATAAAATTCAACATTTTTCATGATAAAAACTCTCAAAAAACTAGGTATGGAAGGAATTTACCTCAAGATAATAAAAGTCACATATGACAGATCCACAACTGTCTGGGAAAAATTTGAAATTTGAAAGATTGGGCTTTGCAAATCAGAAAGGAAATGTTAAATTAGGCAGTTGGTTAGACATGTGCAGGTGGTGAATACAACAAGGCTATTTAAAAAATTTGAAATGTCTTAACAAAGGAGGGCCTGAATTGTCACCCTAAGTTTTATGCTGAGTTAACATGGGAATGGGGTTGATCAAGACTTCACAAGTGAATTTCCCTAAGACTAAAAACCAATCAATGTCCCAAAGACTTTCTAACATGGGCAGACAAATGTGGTCATACGTCATACTATTCTTTTTGTATTCCTTTTCCTCCCCCCGCCCCCCGCCTTTTTAATACCCTTCCTGAAACTGAGCCTATTCAAATAAATAAAACAGGGGAAATGTGGGAAGCAGACAGGCTGAATTCTTCACAGACCTTCCAACTCAGGGTAAGGTGCCCAGTCAGGGGAATGTCTATGTGAGCATCCCTGCATGGGGAAATCAGCAGCGCAGGCAGCTGAGACCATCAACTAATAGCTTAGGCTAGAGAAGCTGAGATGTCTGTCTGAGGAGATGAGACTCGCTCTCCCCCCTCCTCTTCCAGTTGCACCATTATGTGGTTACTTCAGATGTTCCATTACCCTATGTCCTTGTTTACCCTTTAATCAACCTTCCTGGGGGCTGTAATTTCCCCTCTATCATTGTTAACCTTGACTAGTAGACTAGTGACTATGCATTCTTGCACACATACTGTGCTATATACCCAATAAAAAGACTCTGGGAAACAGGACAGGTGCTGCATTGTTCTCATGGTGCCACCAAGCACATGAAACAGTGTAAGCCTTTACAGGCTTCCTGGTTTTATGCATTAAGTTTGGTGTAAGTTTCTGTTTCTTCCTCTGTATTGTCTCCCCTGCTGGCCACTGTCCCAGGTTGGTGTCCACTAGATGCCTGACAACCTGAAGCAAGACAAAGTTGCCCACTTTTCACCACTGTTTTTCAATATAGTAGTGGAAGTGCTAGCTATGGCAATGAGACAAGAGAAAGAAATTAACGATATGCAAATCAGAAAGAAAGAAGTCAAATTATCCTTGTTTGTAGTTAGTACGATTTTATATCTAGAGAGATCTAAAGACTCCACCAATAAACTGTTAGACTGACAAACAAATTTAGTAAAGTTGCAGGTTACAAAATTAATACACGAAAATCATCAGCATTTCTATGAACCAACAGTAAACAATCTGAAAAAAGAAACCAAGGAAGTAATCCTATTTACAATAGCTACATGTAAAATAAAATACTTATGGATAAACTTAACCAAAGAAGTGAAAGATCTCTAAAATGAAAACTATAAAACATTCGTGAAAGAAATTGAAGAAGACACACACACACATAGACACAAAGGGAAAAACATCCCTTGCTTGTGGGTTGGAAAAATCAATATTGTTAAAGTGCCCATATTACCAAAAGAAACCCACAGATGTCTTTCAATTCAATCCCATCAAAATACCAATGATCTTATTTATAGAAATAGAAAAAATAATCCAAAGATTTATATGGAACCACAAAAGACTCAGAATAGCCAAAGCAATTCTGAGCAAATGAAACAAAACTGTAGGAATCACATTACCTGAGTTAAAATTATACTACAGAACTACAACAACCCAAACAGCATGATATTGGCATGAAAACAGAAACATAGATCAACGTAACAGAGTAGAGAACCCAGAATTAAATGCATACATCCACAGTGAACTTATCTTTGACAAAGGTGCCAAGAACATACAGCAGGGAAAAGATAGTCTCTTCAACAAATGGTGCTGGGAAAACTGGATATCTATATGCAAAGAATGAAACTAGACCCTTTTCTTTTGCCATACACAAAAATCAAATTAAAATGGGTTAAAACTTAAATCTAAAACCTGAAACTATGAAACTATCAAAAGAAAACATTAGGGAAACACTCCAGGATGTTGGTCTGGGCACTTGAGTGATATCGCAAACCACAGGAAACTAAAGCAAAATTAAACAAATGGGGGATCAAATCAAGCTAAAAAGTTTGCACAGCAAAGGAAATAATCAATGAAGTAAAGAGAGAACTCAAAGAATGGGAGAAAATATTTTCAAACTCCCCATCTGGAAAAGGATTAATAACTAGATACATAAAAATCTCCAACAAATCAATAAGAAAAAATTAAATAATCCAATTAAAATTGGACAAAGGGCCTGAATAGACATTTCTCAAAAGAAGACATACAAATGGTCAATGGCATATGAAAAAATGTTTAACATCATAAGTCATCAGAGAAATGCAAATCATGCTTGTGGGTTGGAAGAATCAATATTGTTGAAGTGCCCGTATAACCAAAAGAAATCTACAGATTCAATTGTCAAAATGACTTTTATCTCACCTGTTAAAATGACTTTATCAAAAAGACAGGCGATAATGCTAGGGAGGATGTGGAGAAAGGAGAACCCTCATACACTGGTAGTGGAAATGTAATTATTTCAGCTGCTATGGAGAACAGTAAGGAGGTTCCTCACATAAGCTAAAAATGCAACTATCATATGACCCTGCAATCCCACTGCTGAGTATATATCCAAAGGAAAAGAATTCAGTATATCAAAAAGATATATGCACCCCTGTGTTAACTGCAGCACTATTCACAATAGCTAATATTTGGAGTCAATCTAAGTGTTTATCAATGGATGAAGAAATTGTGGTACACATACACAATGGAATAGTATATAGTCACAAAAATAATGAGATCCTGTGGTTTGAAGCAACATGTATACAACTGGAGAACACTATGTTAAGTGAAATAAGCCAAGCATAGGAAGATAAATCTCATATGTTCTCACTCACATGTGGGAACTTAATATTAAAAACAATAGATCTCATTGGGACAGAGGGGAGAATGATGGTTTCCAAAGTCTGGAAAGGGTAGTGGGGAGAAGGAGGATAAAGTAGGGATGGTTAATGGGTGCAGAAATATAGTTAGATAGTTACATAGAATGAGAAATATTGGAGAGCACAACAAAGCGACTATAATCAACTCTAAGTCATGGTATACTATAAAGTAACTAAAAGAGTGGGATTAGAATGTTCCTAACACAAAGAAATGATAAATGCCAAGGTGATGGAGACTTTAGTTACCCAGATTTGGTTAATTCACATTTGTATGCCTATATCAAAACATCGTAAGTACCCTATAAAGAAATGTTATGTTCCATAACAATTACAAACAAAAATTAATAACAATATAATAAATAAATCTGTGTTCTGGAATTCTAATCCTATACTCCCTGTGAACTGATTTTATACTGTGAGTAAGACTAACTATAAATTTATAGACTTTTAAGTTTTATTTGGAAAATGTCTCTCCTCTGTTCCCTTGATCAAGTAGGACCTGCCTTCACTTTGGGCTGCATTTATAAGGAGCACCTAAAGGGCACCCAACAGCATTTGGGTGTCCTTTTCCAGCTACACTGACTCAACAGTATTTCAGGTTGGCTTGCCCTTTTCAATGTATTTATGTTTACTCACTAAAAATAATAAAATGGAGATAAACAGAAAGAACCCATAAATAAAAAACAACTATTCATCTACCACTATAGGAAAGCTTTATCAATGGTTTCTGTTTATATTTCCTATTAGTTAGGCTCATTCCTGGACTTATCAACTGATTTAAATACCTGCTTTTGTCTGGGATTGATTAATGAAGGCTATTTCTTAACTCAAATTGTTCTTTCATTTGGCTACATGAGTCAAAGAAGAAAGAAGAGATAACTGCAATGATTTTTATTTTTATTTGTATTTTATAAGGCTGTTGGCTGCAGATTGTTATTACCATGTCTGATTCAGTAATTCTTCAAAGTGTGAAGAAATTAGAAGAAAATTATGGCTTTGAGTCAGACAAATCAAGTAAGTGGCCTTTTTCTTTCACTGTCTCTGGTACAAGGAAAGATGAAATCAAAAGTGAGACAACCTAGTGAAGTTAGTTTGGTTAATTCACATTGTATGCCTATATCAAAACATCATAAATATCCTGTACAGATATACAGCTATTCTGTTTTCATAACATAAGTAGAAAAAGTCAGCAACAATATGTAGAACTGGTGCTGGGTGTGATTCTTACACATGACCGTGTGGTTCTCCCTATGGTCCATGTAATGCCATGTCTGGAAGCTCTTGGTAAGAGTACAAAGTGTGAGTGAGGGAAAGCATTTTCAATGAACATCTCTTTCCTAGACAGAGTAGGGTTGTTCCAGCAGTGGCTACTATTATTAACTTCATTCCTGAATTGTTATTATTGATCTGAGTAGTGACAGAGCAGAGTCTGGGTATGCTGCTCCTTCTAGACTCCTGATGGCCATAGTGACATCATGTCGAAGGGGCCAATAGCACTTGTGCCTGGCATGTCAGGAGCACACATGGTTCTGAGTTATTATTATTATTATCATCATCATTATTTTCATTATTTGAGACAGGATCACCCAGGCTGGAGTGCAGTGGCACCATCACAGATCATTGCAACTTTAAAATCCCTGGGCTTAAACGGTCCTCCTGCCTCAGCCTCTCATACAGCTGGGACTACAGGTGTGTGCCACCCCATGTGGCTAATTTTTCTATTTTTTGTAGAGATGAGGTCTTGATATGTTGCCCAGGCTGGTCTCAAACTCCTGGGCTCAAGCGATCCTCCCATCTCAGCCTCCCAAAGTGCTGAGATTATAGGCATGAGCCACTGCACTGGCTTATTATTATTTCTTTAATCCTATGATTTTACATTTTGCAGATGAAAAAACTGACACTGGCTACGTTTTTTAAACCTTGGCAAGGGTTACACTGGTAGCAATGAATGAGTCATAATTCTAATCCAGTTCTTGATTTGCAAGTTTAAGATATTGCCCTCCATCTACACTACAATGCCTCTTTACTCTTACTGAAAATGCTGGGGAAGCCGATGTGCTGTCCCATGGTGCTTGGTGACAGAGGATCCTGGGGTTTTCTTTTTTTTTTTTTCTTTTTTTTTATTTTTTGGCCAGGGCTGGGTTTGAACCTGCCACCTCCAGCATATGGGGCTGGCGCTCTACCCTTTTGAGCCACAGGGGTCTCCTGGATCCTGGGGTTTTCCTGCACATGGTTTCTCTACACCCATGGCTCTGTACCCCCACTTTCACCTCCTACCCTTCATCTGCTCCGTTCTAGGGAAGAGAGAAAACAATCATGGCTCAGTCATATGGCTTTCACCAGCACAGAAGTGCCAGTGACATCCTGTTATCTAATTAATTTGTGGTCTATGTTTTAAATAGATAAATTCTAATGCTTGTGAAGAACCAAACAATAAATAAATATTTCTTCCATTTTGTAGCTCAAAAAACCCAGCAGGTCTTCTTCAGCTAATTTAGAAATGTTGGTCTCCATTTGATATTCAGAAAATAAGAAATATTTCATATCCTGGAGAAAAGCCCAGACATGTATAATCAAGGCAGTAGTCTTGAACCTGAAAGAGTATCTTCTTGTGTGTGTTTATAAATTGAGGGAGAGAGAGAATAAGATAATCATTTTGTAATGTTCCATAAATAAAAGTAACTTATAGGAATGTTTTTCCAGAGCAAACTTGTTAACTGTGTTGCGTTTTGTCATTATTTTAACTGCCTTTTCATTGTTTTTATCCTGACAGTTAATAATAAGAATACAAGGTAAGCAACTGAATTCAACAATGCAGCATCTTTTTAAGAATAATTCCTTAGTAGTCCTATAAAAGGCACAAAGCAGAGAATATTTTTATGCACATTGTACTTCCCACAAAATGGTATATATAATTCATTCTTTTTGTCTTTAAGACATTACTATAATTTTATTTTTAAAAACTTTTGGAATACCCCTTCTGGATTAGGTCCAAATCTCCCCTGTGTATCCAAGGGCAGGGGTAAAGTTGAATGAAGTATGATTTCATGGGCACCATGGAAGTCTCTGAAACCCCAATTCATGCCCCAGGCAAATAGTAGAAACCTAAAATGTCATTATTAGATAATTCTCTTTAGGTAAAGAGTTTAAATTCTCCATCTAGAATAGATGTCGGCTAATCACTTTTTGGTATAAAGGCAGGATTAGACTGGTCTAATTTAGAAGACAAATGAGAGGCTCAGGTAAGTTCCACAACTGGAGGTGGCGTAAGGGAGGGATTGAAGGTATTTAAGAAATTACAGTTATTTCCCAGTGGGGTGAGGGGGCCATGGGAGCGGTTAGATTAGCTCTGGGTTAGGAGTGGAGATCATCCTGGGCCTCAAAGAACCTCCCTTTTCTCACTGGGTAGGAAACAGAAAATGGGTGTGGATGTAGACGCAGGAGAGGGTGGGAAGGAAGCTGAGTTGGTTGTTTTGTCTTTAGAGTAGGTGACTACAGGATGAGAAGTTGCAGCAGAAGTCTGATGACGTTGCTGAGGGGGAGGGGGACGCTCTGCAGAGGGATGAAGTCCAGTGTTGGGTGTCGGGCTGGAGAGCACGTTCACACTCTCATTCATTCCTTTTACAAGTTGGGATTGAGTCCTATTAGGTGTCGGGCACTATTACAGGTGCTGTGGGTGCAGAAAAGAGCAAAATAGGCAACAATCTTTGCCTTTGAGGAGCTTATATTTTGGTGAGAGAGAGTAAAACTGTAAATAAATGAAGAGTAGGATGATAGCTGGTGATAATCTAGCACTTTCTAAGAAGAAAAACCAAACATAGAAATGGAACTATGAAATGGTGTGCGTATAAGTGGGGAAGGGTGAAATTTTAAAGACTTTGTCCAGGGAAGGCTGTGTGGAGAAGGCAGCTTTGAGGGAATGTCTAAAGGAGGTGAGGGAGTGGCTCCTGTGTGTATTTGAAGAGACAGCATTGGGACAGAGGATCTAGCAGTCTCCACCCAGAGGTCATGGACATAGGTCAACAAGAAGCCAAACGACCAGGTGTTGACAGCTGGAATGTGGAAGGAGGATAAGACACAGGGCTAACCTGATGGGCTAGAGCCTGGGGAGCCTGAGCAGCATCTCAGAAAGGACTTGGGACTCTGCCCCCAAATGGCAGGGAGGCTTAGGGCAGCTGAGTGCCAGGCACCACATGTGTTCACAAGATGTGAGGTTGTCTCTGGCAGCCCAGCTTAAGGAGGAGAGGGGCAAATAGCTGGATGGATGCAGAGATGAAGTTCACAAGGGTGGATTTGGGGGAAAGGATTGTGCATGATGAGGGGAGAGTGTGCTTCAAGTGCTGGGCCCTGGGACCTCGGATGCATGGGAAGGGAGCAGATTCTGAAGGGGGTTAGTGATGGAAGGAAATGGAGGATTTAAGGGACTGCAGGTCTCAATTTGAGATTGACAAATGGGTGTGGAATGAAGAAGGAAGTGAGAAAAGATGCCTGAGCAGTCACAGAGTGCAATGGAGGGAAACGTGCCGGTCACTAGTTCCTGGTGACGGCAAGGCCCAGGGTGTATCCAGGGAATGGGTGACTCAGGTGAAGTGTAGACCCTGAAGCTGAAGAGGCAAAAGACTGGCTAAGCATGACCTTTTATGAAATAAATGGGAAATAGAGTAGAACCTCCATAGCTGACCACCTCTCTGTGACGACCACTTCCTTCAGTTGACCTAATGTTCATAGACCAGACTTGCGCCACATGTATGGATCGGTACAGTGGGCCTGTGTCCCTGTGTTGACCACCTTTGGGTATTGACCAGTTTGTTACAGTCCCTTGGGCTGTCAACTTACAAAGCTTCTGCTGTACTAAGGAAATACGATTCTAAGGAAGTACGGGAGTGTTCTTGAATTTCCTATCATATCAATGCCATTTAATAGAGCTGTAAAACATCTAAACGTTATGAGGAAGCTTTAAAATAGGTTAATCCAACCACTGCAACTTCCTCACGCAGATATATAGGCACAAATAGTCTGAGAGCCATGGCTGAAGGCAAAGAGTTATTTGTCGGTATAAATGAGGGCAGAGAGGAGTTTTTACTTTCTCAGAAAACCTTCAGTAAATTTCTACTGAACCCGAGATATAGCTATACTGAAATCTCTAGAAGAAGGAAGTCAAGAAAAATAAAAGCTTCTTTTTAAAATACAGGATTTGGCCAGAATTTCCTGGCTGGTGGGGACTTTCTTTCTTACCAAAGAATAGCTCATCATTCTGGGGAGAATTTCTCATTGTTTTAGAAAGGATGCTCTTTAAATCCCTGTTTTTCTCTTCAGGTTACAAGATGAGAAGAAAGATGATGGTATTCGAGTTGGCTTCTTTCAGTTGGTAATAAAACTGTGCTGAGTTACGGCATCAGAGGTGCAACTGTGAATCGCTTCCATCAGGGAGGAAATATTAAACCTTTAGTCATGTTGGCATGTTTTTATCTATAGTGACCACTTTTTCAGTCATAAGCTTTGCCCATGGGATAACGTGCTTAGTAATTATTAGAAATAGGTTGCTGATTAAATCCACAAATTCCAGGTTGGGAAATATCCTGAAAAATAATCACTAAGCCCATAATTATAATTTTTTTTTTTTTTTTTTTAGAGACAGAGTCTCACTTTATCACCCTTAGTAGAGTGCTGTGGTGTTACAGCTCACAGCAACTTCCAACTCCTGGGCTTAGGCGATTTTCTTGCCTCAGCCTCCTGAGTAGCTGGGTACACAGGTGCCCACCACAACACCTGGCTATTTTTTTTTTTTTTTGGCAGTTTGGCCAGGGGCTGGGTTTGAATCTGCCACCCATGGTATATGGGGCTGGCACCCTACTCACTGAGCCACAACCATAATTATCATTTTTATAAAGAAAATCATCATCATCATATTATGTATACTTATTTTTATGATGAGTGTTTAGAAATTTTATAGTAGAGGTCTCTACCCCAAATTTGCAGAGGGTGGAAGCATTTCCAGGCACAAATAGACACTATTCATTGCCACTATTCTGGGAGCCAGTTTATGCCATTGCTGACTGCCCCACACAGTGTATCTACTTGGCAATGGCATCGGTGACGGTGATTATCTGATTATCACCCCCTTGAGTTATGGATGAGTAACTGAAAACTACACTCAGCTCCTGAGGTGGGGGAAATGAATTCAAAATATGACTTAACAAACAATATATGAGTGTAAAGATACTTGATGTGTAGTATATTTCATTACAATTAGTGTGAACCCTGCTGCTCTATTAAGATGATTGATAAGACTACACTATTGATAAGACTCTAGTAACTAAAATTAAATAGCCCTCCTACTTCTCCTGCTTTTCACCCATAGATGATTTCTGAATCCTTTGTTTTTCAAGTTTCGTTTTTCTTCATCGACTGAAATTTGGCTGATGCTTGTGGGAAGTTTATGCGCATTTCTCCATGGAATAGCCCAGCCAGGCGTGCTACTCATTTTTGGCACAATGACGGATGTTTTTATTGATTATGACACTGAATTACAAGAACTCAAGATTCCAGGAAAAGCGTGCGTGAATAACACCATAGTGTGGACCAACAGCTCTCTCAACCAGAACATAACAAATGGAACGCGCTGTGGGTACGCTGCTGTTTTTTTTTAAAAAAATTCTTACATTTTTTGCTTGTATCTTATGTTGTAATTCAAAACGTGTTGAAAGGCATTTGATTGGCTGAACTGGAGTTGTGTCTTATACAGAGAAAACAGAAACAAATTTACCCTTATTTCTAAAAATTACTCTGCCTTGAAGTTCTTTCCTTTTTACCAAGATTTAAAATCTTAACAGAAACAGGATTGAAAATCACTCATCAAATACATACCAGAATCGAACCACTTTATTGATGTAGGCTTGGCCATGATACTACCTACCAATACCCAGTGTACTGGAGAGGTGACCCGTGACTTTTAACTTGAGTCTCATCTCTAGGCTCTAGGAGTTCCTGTTCTTGTTTTTGCTAACTTCCTTTTGCCCCTTAGCTTTGTGGCTGAAGTTGTGATCTCTTCGATCTAAGCCTTCTCTCTGGAATGGGAATTTCATGAGCATGCTGCATTACTTGGAGCAGGGGCCGCTGGTCTTATATAGGAGTTTTTCTGTGGGGAAGTGCTGCGGTGCTGTGCACAGAAGCAGGCTGAGCTCAGGCTGGCGTGGTCACTGTGCTGCTGCCCTCTTTCTGATAAGCCTGGCAGGCTACCTTGTAATCAGTGAGTCTGTAGTGTACTCAGGGCTGACTCACTGTCATAGCACGGATTTCGTACATGCCTCATGCTGCCTCAGGTTCAGAACAAGCTCATTTGCACGTATGAACCCACACACTCAGGTTTGAAAACCAGGGGCAGGGCACATCCTGGCTAGGAGGATACTTGGAATGGCTTTCCCAAATTAATTTATATTTTTCATTTTCATTTTTGGAATTTTCTACAGGTTTGATTCCAGACTATGAGTAAGGCCTTCTAAGTCAGTTACATTCTTCCATGATATTGTCTATTTTTAGGGTCTTTCATTCACTTTTTTGAACATCAACTCTGTATTAGGAATTTGTGGAAATATCAGAAACATAATTATCTTGCATCTGGGTCCTTATCTTTGTGGAGCTTAGAGCTAGGTAGCCAGAACATTATTCAAACAAACACATAGTTACACCCTGGGAGCTTCTTGATGGGAAAGCACAATGCAACACCTGAGATACAAAATCACCCTTTAAAAATTAACAAGCCTACTTACTAGAAATAAATTTCCGAAATGGCTGTGTATGTTTCTTTTCTAAACTTGGAGTTTCTTTTTTAGCAGGGCAAAAATTTAAAGCATATCCATGATAGGTGCTCATGAACATGAATAGTTTTCAGATGGATTAAAGAATGAAACTACCCTTGGTTTTTGCATTATGGGCACCCGTTAAAAAGGAATTCTCTGTGGCTACTCATTACTTAACTCTAATCATTCTTACTGGGTTATATGCCTGAAGGTGAGCAAGTAACACACACTGGGGGCTTCTAGGAGTCTATTGGCTGTGGCTAAATTTTTAAATAATACTAAGCATATAAATGGACATTTCTCTTTTTCTATTTTAAAAAATTTTATACAGATATCTGAAATTGTATAGACCACACCTTTCTAGGCCATTCCTTTACCAGGAACTCCTTGAGTTAAATGCTTTAATTGTGAGTTATTATGGTCACTGATGTGAATACTATTTGTTCTACTTCTGAATAACATGTTTATTTAGCTTTTGTTTGATGAGATCACCATGAAGATGCACTTGGGTGGGAACAGAGGAGAGGGAGAGGACAGCTTCCTAGCTCTAAGTCTGTGGTTCTCAACCTTCCTAATGCCGTGACCCTTTAATACAGTTCCTCATGTTTGTGTGTGATGGTAGGAGCTGGTTTTATTATAGTGGTTTCTGAACATGTCATGTAGGTGAAATCATACACTATGTGTTCCTTTCCAACTGGCTTCTTTAACTTTGCCTAGTGATTTCCATGTTCATCCATGTTGTAGCATGAATCCGTACTTTCTTTTTTACTGTTGAATAATGTTTCATCATATGGATATGATTTATCAATTCATCACTGATGGACATTTGGGTTGTTTTCCACGTTTTTCCTATTACAAATAATGCTGCTATGAACATTTGTGTACATATTTGTGTACATGTTATTTGTATGACCATGTCTTCATTTCTTTGGGGTATCTACGCAAGAGTGGAATTACTGGGTCATATGGCAAAGATATGTTGAACTATTAAAGAACTACCTGCTTACCGTTTATATTACAGTGCATGAGGGTTTCAATTTCTTCACATCCTCACCAACAATTGTTATTTATTACTTATATTTTGATAATAGCTCCAGTAGACTGAATGATGACACCCCCTGCCCCAAATATCCAGGTCCTAATCCCTGAAACATGTGAATGTTCCCTTATATGGAAAAAGAGTCTGTGTAGATGTGATTAAGTTAAGGATCTTGGGATGGGGGAAATTATCCCAGATTATCTACATGGGCCCTACACACCACCATAAATGTTCTTAAAAGGGATGGTTACTAAGAAGGAGGCAGAGGGAGATTTGCCATAAAGAGAAGAGGGAGGGAATGTTATTATAGAGGAGAAGAGTAGAATGACGTTGCCACAGCCAGGGACTGTCACCAGTTACCAAAACCTGGACAATTCTCTCTGAGAGCCTTTGGAGGGAGTGCAGCTCTGTCAGCACTTGGATTTCAACTCAGTGGAGCTGATTTCAGGCATGTGAGGGAATACATGTCTCTACAACAAGTTTGTGGTACATAGGGAACCAGCCCAATAGCCATCCTAGTGAGTGTGAAGTGGTATCTCTTTGTGGGTTTGATTCGCGTATCCCTGCTGGCTAATGATGTTGGCTGTCATTTAGGTGCTTATTGGCCATTTGAATATCTTCTTTGGAAAGATATTAATTCAGATCCTTTATTCCTTTAAAAATTGGGTTATATGTCTTTTTTATTATTGAGTTGTAAGACATCTTTATATATTCTAAATACAAGTCCTTTATAAAAAAATATGATTTGTGACAACCTTCATTTTGGGGGTTGTCTTTTAATCTTTTGATGGTGACCTTCGAAGCACTAAAGTTTTAAATTTTGGAGATGTCTGGCTTAATTCTTTTTCTTTTTTGTTGCTACTGGATTTGGTGTCTTATCTAAGAAACCATTGCCAAATACAAGATAATAAAGATAGATTACATTTTCTTTTCAAACTTTTGCTCATATATTTAGGTCTGTGATTCATTCTGAGTATATTTTTTATATGGTGTAAAGTAGGAGTCCAACTTGATTCCACGTAAATAATTAGTTGTCTCAAGTACCATTTGTTGGAAAGATTATTTTTTCCTCATTGAATGATCTCAGAACCCTTCTTAGTATCAATTTCCTGTAAATACAGGGGTTTATTTCTGGACTTCTGTTTCTACCCCATTAATTTTTATCTAATATATATCTGTCTTTATGCCCATAACATGATTTTGATTACTGTAACTTTATAATAAGTTTCAAAATGGGGGAGTGTAAGTCCACTAACTTTGTTATTTTTCTAGATTGCTAGTATATTCTAGGTCCTTGGGCTTTACTATATAAATTCAAAGATCAGCTTGTTTAATTTCTGTAAAGAAGTCAGTTAGAATGCTGGGGATTATGCTGAATCTGTAGATAGATTTGTGGAGTACTACCATCTTAACAATATTAAGTCCTCTGACCCATGACCTATTTATTTGAATCTTCCTTAAATTCTTTCAATAAGACTTTCTGGATTTCAGAATGTATTTTGTAATCCTTTTGTTCAAGTTGCAATGACATGCTTTATTCTTTTTGATGCTGTTGTAAATGGAATTGTTTTCTTAATTTTATTGTCTGTTTTTTCATTGCTACTGTACAGAAATACAATTTTTTTTATATATATTGATCTTTTATCTTACAACTTGGCTGAACTAATTATTAGTTCTATTAGTTTTTTAGTAGATTCTTTAGGGTTTCCCATACAAGATCATGTCATCTGCAAATAGGGATAACTGTGCTTTTTTGCTTTCAATCTAGCTGCCTTTCCCCCACCTTTTTGCCTAGTTGTTCTAGCCAAAACCTCCAGGACAATGTTGAATAGAAATGGTGAAAGTGCATATTGCTGCCTTTCTCCTGATCTTAGGGGGAAAGCATTCAGTCTTTCACCATTGTGTGTAACATTAGCTCTGAATTTTTCATAAATGTCCATTGTCATTTTGAGGAAGTTGTCTTCTGTTTCTAGTTTGTTGAGTGCTTTAATTGCTAAAGAGTGCTGAGTTTTGTCATGTGTTTCTTCGGTATGTATTAAGGTGATCATACGGTTTTGCTCATTATAATATTGATATAGTATATTATATTACTGATGTCCATGTGTTGAATTACCTTGCATTCCTACACTAAATCCCACTTCGTAGGTAATGATGTGCAATTCTTTTAATGTGCATATACTGTAGGATTTAATTTCCTAGTATTTAAGGATTTTTGTGTCTATATTCATAAAAGATATTGGATATAAAAGTTTTCTTTTCTTATAACATCTTTGTCTGCTTTTCTTAGCGGGTAATTGTAGCCTCAGAGAATGAACTGGGTAGTGTTTCCTTTTGTTTTTCTTTTTTGGTATGAATTCTTTACATGTTTGGTAGAATTCACCAGTTAAGCCGAGTCTAAGACAAGTCTCTTGTCATAGATCTATTCAGATTTCCTATTTCTTTTTTAAACCTTTAAATTGACAAATAAAAGTTGTATATATTTATGGTGCACAATGTAATGCTTTGAAACATGAATACATTGTGGAATGGCTAAATTAAGCTAATTAACATATGTATTACCTCACATACTTACTGTTTTTTGTGGTAAGAACAGTTAAAAAGATGTGTTCTTTTTGCAATGTTCAAGTACTTATACAAAGGATCATTACTAACTGTAGTCACCATGTCCTACTTTTAACTGAACTTTGGTATCTGTTAACCAACCTCTCCCCAATCTCCCCACCTCTTGCCCCTGGTAACCACCATTCTCCTCTCGACCTTTCTGCTTCTGTGAGTTCATCGTTTTAGCTT